CATTCCCAATCCGTACTTCGTGGATTTGAATTCGGGGGAGAGGGGGAAGCCAAATTCAATTTCGATCCAGCCGTGTATATACCCACGTCAGCTCCTTCGACACAGTGAGGGGGATTGCATGTTTTTCTTCCTCCTCCCCCAGGCTGGCGAGGGTTTAAGGGGGGGACATGTCATTCACGTTTGTTGCTTGATCGTACGCCTTCTTCGGTCAAATGTCGAAGAAGGGAGTCAGACACCCGGTGGACTGCGGGTGCGCGCTCGCGCGCAGGGCACAGGGGGGACCGCCCTGTGTCCTTTTCCCCGTCGAGAGAGAGAGAGAGAGAGAGAGAGAGAGAGAGAGAGAGAGGCGAGGGGGAGCGCTCTGCTGACTCTGCTGCTTTCCCTTTGTCTGTGTTGAAGAAGAGAGTGAGCCTTGGGGAAGAAGAGAGAGAGGGCTGGGGGGTCTGCCCCCAACTCTAACAAAGAGAGGCCCAGCAGCTTTGCGGGCGCTGCGGTGCTGCCCCCGGGCTGGAACAGACCATCGGCGTGAATATGCGGTTTGTGTGCAAGGTTTCGACTGGCTGCTGCCGGTCAGCCCACACCAGCCCGGTGCGTCAGATCGCGTGCATTCCGTGTGCACAGCACGCGGGGCCCTGCTCGTCATGTCATGGAAATGAGCACTAGACTCACACTTACTTGGAGCAGAAGCTGGTGCCCGTCAACTCATGCAAGGCCAATGACTGACGGTTGCGCCTATCCAGTATTCTCTGTCCGGCGCTGAGTTTTGTCCTCAAGTACTTTGGGCTTGACCATGTCCCGCAGTTTTCGGGCCAACGAGTGTACTGGCACGAGTTGGTAGACTTGGTTGGCCGGTGTGAACATGCTTGCAGCTGCTGCAGTGCTTGTTGTCAGTTGCATATCCCTGAGGACTACGAGGCTGAGCTCAGCGATGTGTGAAGCATGTGGCTCTGGTGCAATAGCCCACGAAAATCGTGGCTTATCTGCCAAAGAAGCAGACATAGGCGAGCGGACCGCAGGCACAGGCTGAGAGACTGCAAACGGAGCCGCATGGTCACCGGCAGTGTGGTGACGACAATTGACGGCCTGTGCATCGTTTTGTCGTCTGACTTGGTCATGCTATTTTTGTCAGTGCTCCTCCGCATATCAGATGGGTAGCCCACGAGTGAGGTCATTCCTTGCCGTCGTGCATTGTTGCTGAAGGCTTGTCTGTTCGCAACCATGTGGAATCAACAGGCAGCTGCGTGACGACCTGATGACGCTGCTCATCGCTGGACATGAGACTCGACACGATTCAGTGGATGCCTCTCCTGGTTTGAGATATTTGGAGATGAGGCCTGAGGTGCAGGTTCTTCAACAGCTTTTGCCATGGAGTGTCTTATAGCATTGTTTCGAGCGCTGCTTGCAAGTCCCAAACTACTTTGCCAGGAAACCACTGCAGCCATGCTTACATGGGCAGGGCGCAAAGCTTGCAGGGTACGTGCTGCGTTGGGCAGCCTGGACCGATTGGAAGATGTGAGCCGCTGGCAGAAGTCGCATTTCCATCCCTGCTTCATCTGATCCTTCCTGCCAGCCGTTGTGCTTTTGCGGATTGCTGCTGTCGGAGAGAGATTTGTGCTGAGACACTCTATGAGCTCGAGAAGCCGGAGAGCGCCGTCTTTCTGCGTGAAGTGCAGGAGGAGGCCGTGCGACGCATGTCTTGGTCCCCCAAGATCCAGGAGTTGAACCTGACGTGTATTCTAACCATCTGTCATCAGTTCGATCGTGATCACACCTGAATTGAAAGTCGTCGACGCAAGCAAATCGCAACAGGCATCGGTTCTGTTCTGGTAGCCAATGATTCAAAGCGCACGCAACGTCTCCCGCACATGAAGCAGATTTCAGGCCGGCAATGTAAAGCTTCAGATCACGGGCCCGGGACGGAGTGGTCTGCCATGAAATCTGACCCCTGCGTCAATGCTTATTTCGGTGCGGGGATCTGCTCCTCGTTTGCTTGCTTTTCGGACAGAATGTGTCGAGCCGGTTTACTTACATAGATGTAAGCGCTTTGCCGCTCCGTGACACAGATCGACACCGTCCTGGAGGGACGAAGCCCAACTTTCGAGGAGTCCCTTTCGCAGTGTAGTGCATGCGCCTTGAGCTTTTCAACCTGCTGGGTTGTCGATACCCGGGTTTCCCACTAGTCACTAGTCACTACGAGGAGCTGACGCAGTTGCCAGCGCTGCGTGCATGTCTCCTCGAGGCTTTGAGGCCTCGAGCTGAGCAGAATTGAATCTGACCGCATTGGTTGTTGACAGCTTGGCATCTCGCAGCAAGGCTGTATCCGGAACCTCCTTTGCTAATCCGCCGATGCATCGCCGGAGACGACGTGGCTGTGGGCTTGAGCCCTACGTTGCCTACAGCAGGCTCCAGGTGCCGTAGATGGCGCCAGCTCCCACTCTCTTCCTTCCTATCCGAGGCCCCCTTTGCCATGATGTGGAATCCGAGACGGTGTCGTTTTTGCCTGGCCAGGTTCGGCAGGGTCATGCTCGCAGCTTCTCAAAATCGATGTTCTCCAAAGATGCGGAAGAACACGCTAATGCGGATGCTTCCCCGGTCACTGTTCGCTGAGGGCGTAGATACTTGTCCGGTGTCTTTCGGGATACTTGGCCGCATGGTCAACAGAGAAAAAGTGCATCAACGCCAACACCAAACAACCAACCAAAAAACAAACACACACACACACATACATACATACACACACACACACACACTCTCTTTCTCCCTCCATGTGCGCGCACACACACACACACATTGAGAACACAGAGGAGGGAAAAGTTGGGGATGCCAAGAGGGCGGTATTTTCCGTGGAGTGGAGGAAACCAGGGAGAGGACAGGAGGACACGGAGAAGTGAAGACCACGTGTTCATGCCGCCGCCGAACTTTCAGAAAACTGAAGTTGCGAGGGTACTTGCGGGCTCGAGTTCCGTCAGACTTTGTATTTGTCTCAGAGTGGAGATGTTCAGAAATATTGCCCCAACCGGCGAAGACTGCACTTCATTGCCGTGCTACAGAAAAAATGCTTCCTAAATTCTGCAGCGATGATTGAAGCTGAAGTTGAATTCGTCTGCAGCTAGCCAATACAACTTACATGCAGTGGCTTTTGCATCAGGAGTTGCCGAACCAGAGCCGGAATCAGATTGCGCTGCTTGAAATGCCAATGAATGGAATTGGACCTTGTCTGACTCACCCAAACCAAGGCTATCCAAGCCAAGACAGCATGTCTGTCCTTCATGGCCTGCAAGACTCCGTTGAAGTGGCAGCACCACACTTCTGAAGCCGCAACATGTTTGTGAGTTTGTGCGCTGATTTCACATAAAGCCTCGACATCGCAGCAGAGCTTTCCGCATACGACCGGCTCGGCGTCGCTCCTCTTTTCTACCCTTCGTGGGGCCTGAAATCACGGAGGCCGAGCGCCTCGAAGCGCCAAATGCCATGACTCGAAATGCGCAAGAACTTCACACTGCCATCGATGCGGCGGATCAGGATGTGTTGTGGACAAGGCATGCTGAGGCACGGACAAAATCCGACAGAGCAAGATGCCATCAGCTTACACTCACCTCCTTGCGGTGGGTAGGGGCTGGGAACAGATGGAACAGGCTGCAAGGACAGCATACAGGCAGTCGTTGCTTTTCGAGCCTCTGTCACAGGATATCTTCATCTCCACATGGTCTCTTCAGCGCTCGGAGACTCTGTGGGGCGAGGCCGAATTGAATATGCTGGTAAGCAGCATGCACGTTTGCAGAGACCGACCAGGATGCAAGCAGTTTCAACCCGCACAGGTGGAAGGACTGCTTTTGTAGTTGTTTGTTGTTCTTTGCCCGTTGGTTGCAGGGCAACCTAGAAGTGGAGCATATATATATACACTGTATGTCTTGGGCAGCATCTGATTGCAGGAGAAGCTCAACGGCAATGGCCTTTGGCAGGGATACTCACCTGAGAAGGCCAGGTTCTTCATGAAAGGTGGCTCTGCCACCAGTATCTTATCAAGTTAATCGGGAGCCGCGCTTTGTTGAGATGCTGTTTAGGAGTTAAAGATAATGTCCAGCAGCGATGTATTCCCTGTGCGAGTCCACCAACTACCCAGACGAGAGGGCCCACTTGCTCAGACTACGCTCAGTGTGGAATGCGGCTTCCAACGATGATGTGTTGACTGCAGGAATGCAGGCTCATGGCCAGTTGCGCAGCCTAGGCCACCGACTACGCCTTCTTGCCTTTTGGTGCCGGTTCGCTGCAGACCTAGCTTGAGTAAGCCCAAGGGTTCGTTTCTCAAGTCCTTGCGGCCGAGGCGGAAATGTGTGGGTGACAACTTTGCGCTCCTGGAAGCAGAGGTGCGCACGAGAGTGCATTTCTGACGCCGGTGCTGGAAGGAGCTGCAAGGATACATCCGGGTGCGCAGAATGAATCTTGTTAGCAGGCTGTGCTGGTTGCCCTCTTGCAGCGCTTCGAGTTCAAGGTGCGCAAATCTTGAGGGATGTTGGACAAAGCCATACCTGGCTATTGCTATCTATGTTTTTGCGAGAGTTACAGAAAAAGCTCGCTGCCAAGCCGATCCAGCCGTCCAGGCAGTGAAGACGAGTACTACTCTTGCTCCCCCTAGTGCTGTTGCTGCTACTGCTACCAGTACTGCATTTGCTACTGCTACTGCTACGCCTACGGCTACGGCTGCTGCTGCTGCTGCTGCTGCTGCTGCTTCGACTCTACTCCGACTGCTTCTGCTTCTGCTGCTGCTGCTGCTGATTCTGCTGCTTCTGTTGCTGCTACTGCTCACTACGACCCCGACTTCGTTTGCGACTACCTCTACGACTACATTCCTACTCCTCCTCCTCCTCGGACGTGGACTGGTAATGAGCAGATGCTATCATGTGCCAGTCTGTTCCCGGTAGCACGAAACAGGCAAAGTTGATGCAACACTTGAACTCCCAATGGCATACCCCAGCGGGATATGCAGTTGCGCCTCGATCAGAGTTCTTGTCTGGGCAGTGCTCCGAAGTGGGGCATCAGTGACTTCGCGACTTGCAGCGGAGAGATCCGATCTTTGGTTGCCTGAGTTATGTAGGCGTCTGTCGGGAAGCGCAACGTGGAGATGACGACAGGGGCGACAATCCACACGGCAGGCATTGAAGTGTCCGTTTTGCAGCCGTTCTGCGACCGAAACTGACAGAACAGGGGTGACGCAGGGACGGATCTGCGTGAAACGCAGCCAGACCATACACAAGTAAGACTGGTTCAATATGTGGGGGCTTTTTGGAAAAGCTGGGGCCCATATAGAAGACTTGACGAAGAGAAGCCGTGTTGCAGGTGGTCTTATGATGGAGGTGAAGAAGCGAACAGATCGTCGAGCCAAGAAACATGGCGAAGGCCAGCAGCATTGGATAACACGATGCGCATGGCGCATAACAGCTGCCAGGTCGGAAGGAAGTGGATGTGAAGGGAGTGGTCAGCATGGCGGCAGACTCAGAAGTCCCCGGGGAGCTAGACTGGAGTCCGCGACTTGAGGTCGTAGAACCGTATGGTGTAGTGGGAGGTTTTAAGGTGCTAGGTCCAGCATGGTCACGATTTATGAAGAGACTTGGAAGGCAGCCCACTGTGGATGCGCCTTTCATGTGCTTTTGGCAACCTTCATTCTTCATCTATTGGTCCTATTCCTGTCCGTTTTTCCTGCCACTGGCTGCTGTATCCTCGCTGCTTGGCAGGAAAAGAAGCTACGAGGCACGGTCGCGCAGCGAGCCGTTCTCTCAACTGTGGGAACAGGTGTTCGAACTTGCTGTGCTGGTCATGAGCTTACAGTAAAGCTCCAAGTTTGATCATCTTGCCAAGATCGAGCCGGAAGCATTGGTCGTTCCCACGGCCAAAGAGCTGCGCATGCTTTTCACTGCACAGAAGGAGGCCGCACAGTTTCCTGAGGGGGATAAACATGTTTTTCGTTGCCGTTCCTCTAAGGTAATCTTGACACATGCGCACATGCACACACGCCGAACCATTGACTCGTGGTCGCCATCTTAGCCAGGATGTGCGAAAGCTCTCGCCAACGCCTCCGTCTCAGTTCTGAGCTCCTTCCTGCAGAGGACGACAGTGCAAGACCGCTTAGCCAGCGCTTGGTGGGCGACGGGAGCCTCAAACGACTCTGGCAAAGGCCGGAACTTTTCGAGGCTTTGGAGAAGGCCTACAAGCAATGTGCCCCGTCCGCGATCATTGGCATGTATCTGGCTTGTAGCCTCTGTTTGGATTCATGTAATTGGCTCGTGGATGACGTTCCCGATCGTCGTCAATCCATTGTCAAGCCTCTTCGGGATGGTTTCTCGGTGCAGTCAAACCTCTTCGTTCGAGGCCAGGAGGTGACCAAAGAGTACTCCAAAACGCCTGCACCCAAGGGGGAGTTGTGCAGAGCTGGATGGATCAGGGCTTGTCCCACCAGTGAAGGTTCTACCTGGGCTCGCAGCTCCTGGACCAAGATGAGCAGCGTGTCGTTTGGGTGCGCAGTGACTCTGCAGTCCTGTCTTCTGCACGGTTGTGAGGTTTTGAATTGACGGTTGGCAGGCCATCTACAACTGGTGCCGAAGCACGGATGAGCTGGTTGTGATGGCCTCGGGTATTCCCACTGTTTCGATGTGACTTGTGTAGCAAATTCCGGTGTCGGAAGCATGGCCGGGCTGGGCGTCATTCCTCCGTTTCACTCGCCATCTGACAGGACGGGCCTGAAGCCGCAAACACCACGATGGCGGTTCCTTGGCCTGTTCCAGCGTTTTGACGAGACTTGCCGAGCGAAGCGCTAGCTGGCTGCTGGTCTCAGGACCTCGAGGAATGGGAAGAGAGACTCAACAGGATCTTCCAGCTGCAGGTCGTTAACCGAAGCAGGCCATATTACTTGGCCGTGCTTTTGCGGCCAGGTGCCTGCAGATGGTGATCCAGCGGACTTGGCGATGGTGGACAGCATTCGCAAGCGCTGCCCTCGGCCCTTTCACTCGACGGCTTTGTCTTTATCGCAGCACTGCGATGCACGATGTGAGCTTTGGATACCCAGGTTCTCCTTGATCCAGAGACCTTTCCAAGACATGCCCAAGGGCTCAGATGTGGTTTGCCAGGGAACTTCGAAGCCGCAATGTCTATTGCTGTCACGCTGTCCCCAGGGTGGGCGGGATGGCAATGGATCTGGTCAAGGACAGCCATTAGGATCTTGGATGCCTCCGTAGTGCGCGCGCTTGTGCGTGTGCGTGTGCGTG